CCCAAGTCTAAACATGAAATTGATTTGTTTCATATTCACTTTATGCACATATCCAAAGGTAACTCTATACACAATATTTTTAATGTTTTTGTGCATGAAGCAAAATCTGTGTACACTGCACCATCAGAAAGCAAAGGTGTAACTATCTTAGCCATCCATGCAGACGATTTTGGAGTATTTCGGAATTCTGGATAAGGGATACTGAATAATAACGAATTCATTGCAGCAAAATGATCTATTGTTCTTGTGTGCCTTCAAGTCATTTCAGACTTATGGTGACCCTAAGGCGATGCTATCACTGGGTTTTCTGGGGCTGAGAGTGTGTGACTCACCCAAGATCACCAATGGGTTTCCATGGCCAAGTGGTGACTCGAACCCTGATCTCCAGAGTCGCAGTCCAATGCTCAAACCACTAGACCACGCTGGCATTTCCACAAGGCATTTCATCCAAATGTGTGCTTCAGATTTAGATTGACAGAACATAAAATATAATTATTTGATAAAAATGTCTGAATAAGAAAAAGTTGCTTACAAACCTATGAAATACCCAACAAGTCAGGGATTTAATATGGGAAGTTTTCATTTTGAAGTTAGTGGCTATATTTCCACCAACTCCACCTCCACCCCAAATGGCATCCGACTCCAACTCCATGGCTCCAGCTCCCCACTCCAGAGCCCTGCCCTAGATCCACAGCAAGCCCTCCACCTCTTACCCCCAGACGCTCTTCTGATTCTTTCTCTCCCTACTTTTCTGTGACCTTCACGGCTGCCCTCCCCAGCTGTTCCGCATCGGTATGCTTGCTCCCACAGCCACGCAAGCCTGCAAGCCACCATCAATCAGAGATGCCCGTAAATGCCGTACAAGGTCTCTGCTATGGGATGTTCAGGGAACTGTCACTCGCCTTGTCCCTAGGTATTCCACATGGAAAAGAACACTGCCAACTTTGCAACCATCCCAACTTACAGGTTAGCTGTCCTGGAATATAAGGATGGCACATTCCAGGTTCCAAACGCTGACTGTTGTGACCTGATCTGTCCTGGATCACTAACGCTAACATCTTAGTAACAGAGGAACAGAAAACAGAAAGGAGAAAGCTAGAGCCACAGAATCTTAGGATTGGAAGGGATCACCAAGGGGCTACCTTGTCCAGACCCCTGCCATGCATGAATACACAACTAAAGCACTGCCAAAAAAAAAATGCCCATCACAACCTCTGTTTAAAGACCTCCAAAGAAGAAGAGTCCACACACACATACCCAACAGTCTATTTACTGCACTAGACCAGTGGTTCCCAAACTTTGGTCTTCCAAATGTTTTGCACTTCAACTCCCAGGTAACATAAATTGTTAAATAAGATAAACTCCCTCCACTCTGCCCCAGCAAGCAATTTAAAAAGGTGCAAATTTTCTCATGCAGTTTTCCAGGAAAGGTAAACTGTTGCATGCTTTAACTGATGTGTTTTAGTTTATGTTGTGCATTGTTGATTTGTTGTTGTTCCTTGCCTTGATCCATGGGATGAGTCAAGTAGGAAATGATGAGGATGAGGATGAGGATGAGGATGATGATGTGTAGCCACAAGTTCCACATTGGGAGCATATTATGAAGTTGCTTCATTATTAAGTCAGACTCCAGCTCCATACTTCTCAGTATTTATGGATTGATTATTTCAAAGATTTAAAAGATTGTTTGCATTGACTAGGGATGTGTCCACACTACACATTTATAGCAGTTTGATACCACTTTGACCACCATGGCTACCTCCTATGGGATTTTGGGATTTGTAGTTTAGTGAGATACTAAGTATTCTTGATCACAGTTTCCCTTGTCTCCCTGTTTCTAAACACTTGCACACATATATTTCTATCTTTGAAGATTGTGAAAATAGGTGTTAGGAGCTATATGAAGGGGACATGTCATATTCTTG